GCTTATGGACAATTTACGAGCGGATGTAAATTTTCCATAATCCCGCAGTTGGAATAGTGACGTAAATTATAATTTTATACTGAACTCTTCACAGGACCCGGTTTATTAGAAGCGGGCAATAAAATGGGAGCATACATATAATGTTTTAGCGGTTTCTATATTCACTAGAGAACCTCCTTTTTTTCATCAGTAAAAAGCACATATTTTTTTTTGTGTCGTAGAATGAGTATAACGTTACAAACCCATTGATTTAAATCACATTGAACAACTTTCTTTAAATTTTATTCTCGTTTCTCTCCAAGCCTGAATTATGCCAGTTATTAAATAAATCATTCCGACTGTTAATGTAGTGAGGAACAAGGTTATTCAATCAAAGTTTCCGTATTTAAAAAAATCGATACCTAATCGTCTGAGTTTATCGTGTCGACGTAAGAAATAATCAATGTGCCCAAATGACGTACAAACTTATTGAAATATTCGTATCGGTTCGCTTTCTGACCGATTATTTTAGTATAAATCACTAAAATCCGATAAAGATTCTTATTGAGAGAAAAAATGTAAAAATAAAAAGACATAAATAGTTAAAACCGGACTTGGAAACCTGATAAAAAACTACTTATATGTTGTTGGGTTAGTTGGGGTTCGATTATCTAATATCGAAATCATTTTGTTTCTAATTCTCAGCTCAAAATAGCAGTTTAAATTCAAATTCAATATTATTTATTCGGTATCGGCTGTTACAAGCACTTGTGATGTCGAAAACTACGTCATCGGTTCGCAAATCTACGGCGGGAGACTTTGTATTGAGAAGAGCCGGTTAGGAACTCAGTAAGGGCTGCTTTTTTCTCGCTCTAATTAATTTTCTAATTAATTCGATCGCTATTATAATATGGGTTAAAGTATGAAATTGCCGATTTGTACTGAAAATATATATATTTTTATTTTTTAAGAAATTTATTTAATCAAAATAGTTACCATTATTATCTATACATTGCTGCCATCTAATAGGCAGGTTATTTATGCCTTTGCGATATAACTCTGAGGACCTAGACTGCACAAACTCTGTGAAAGCATTTTGTACTGCCTCCTGGGAAGAAAACTTCTTGCCACGTAGATAATTGTCTCAATCACGAACAAAATGCTAGTCCGTTGGAGCAAGGTCTGGCGAATACAGAGGATGACGAATGGTTTCTAACTGCAGTTCTTGAAGGGTCAAAACGGTTTCTCGTGCTGTATGTCAATTTTAAAGCATAAAAATTCTATGTCGATTCAAGGAACCTCATCATCATCAGCCACTTTACGTCCCCACTGCAGGGGCTCAGGCCTTCCTTATGGATGCTTAAGGAGAATGGGCCATGACCCTCCACGCTGGCCCAATGCGGATTGGAGGATATTAACTACTGCAAATGTAGCTGGGACCAACGGCTTAATGTACCTTCGGAAACACGGGGTAGCTAGAGATAATAATTTTTTGGTCACCCATCCGGTGACCGACTCTTGCGAAAGTTGCTTAATGACAACGATCTCGGGCCGCGGTGCTTATCCTACGCCACCGAGCTACTCTATTTTTAACTGTCTGGTAATATTTTCTAGTAATTTATTATATTATAAAATTTGCGACAAAATCGTTTAATTATTTCATACTAATAAATAATATACACGCGAAAGTAGGTTTGCGTATATGTCCCCTTTCGCTCTCATGGCGAACCCACTACACAGAGTTTATTTGAAATAGAATATAGGTTGCTTTTTAATCTGATAAAAGGTTTGAAATGACGAATAAAGTTTTTTACGGATATTCGTCATTGCTAAAGATAAAATGTTAAAACTTTACATTTCGGAATTTTACCCGATAAAATTAATAAGTAATAATTGTTTCAGCGTTTTTAGAAAAACCGCCGGCAATATTTTTACCACTCGAATGAACTCGTGAGCAAAAGCTAGTTTATCTATATTTTAAATTTGTGTGGAAAGTTTGTGTGGATGGATGTTTGTTAATATTTCGCTTAAAAACTACTGAAATTTAGTTTACGGATAACTTTAATCCTGAAATAACATATAGGCCACTTTCGTTCCACTAAATGGTACTCTATGAACTACGAAAGCAAAGCCAGATTTACATTTCTCAAGACCTACATCTCGATTTCCCTTAGGAAAATAGAAACATTAAAAAGTTTTTATGACATGCGAAGTTTATGGAATCGTCGGGGAATTCGTATCTTAGATATAATAATATCTGAAGCGCCAACTTTATGGTTGTACACAAGGAGCACCTGAGAATGAAACTTCTGGAATTGAATTAGTCAGTCAGTGACGGATTCAGGTAAGAATTTAGCATAAATTATTTACGCCTTAAAATTTTTTACTGGTATTTGAAATATCATTGAATAATAAACATACTCCGTAGATAATACAGAAAAAGTTTAATCTCAAGATAGACCCAACCGAGAGTCGAATTTGGGAAATCAAAAATGAACCTTGAATATAGCATGTTAAGCCAATCGGTTACGGAGGTCGACGATCTTGTATAAATATAATAATTTTAGATAAGGTTTAGGCAGAAAGTTGTGTCTAGTTTATTGTACTATTATTTAAAGTGTACTTAAATAAAAAAAAAACTTATTTGTGTTTGTTTTAACGTCACTATAGCCATGTTTACCCTAATATTACTAGTTAACTTTTGTTTTCGAGGACTAAATTTATACACCAAAATGTGTGTTAAAATTCGGTAATGTAAACTATGAAACTGTTTTCGAGCTTTTTCTAACGATCCATGATTTAGAATTAAGAAGTTTGCCCTGAATCTGACTCTGAGTTAGAGATACCTGATTCTATATTGGAACATCGGGGATGTGGTATTGTTACATACTTACTTGTTCTTTGCGAGAATTTTGGTATAGTACTCAAATTGTTGAGCTCGATGGTGCAGTGGTTAGTGCGTTCGGTCTGCGATGAAGAGTATAGGTTACCTGGAAGAAATATGTTGTTTTAAACTTTCGTGGTCATTAACATCAGACAACCTGGAAGAAATCTCATAAAAGCGAGAAGGCCCGTATTGTACAATGTCTGTCGATAATTTCCTGTGTGTTAATGTCTTTTGATTTGTGCAATAAGGAATGCTTACTTTGTTTTTTTCATTCTTATGTACTTAATTAAAGTATTATTCAAGAAAATTTCGCAAGGGCCAAGCAATTTTATGTCGATCTATTTCGTGTTTGGGAAGGCAGGTTAAACGTTCTTGCCTACATCTGCAGTCGTTAACTCTAAACAATCCTCACAGGGCCCGCGTGGTGGGTCATTGGCTATTCTCTCTATTCCATAACCTTTTTTTTTTGTACCGAAGGGAACTGACCTTAACATGGCGTCGACCTGGACAAGAGGCCGACTGAACCCGGGCTTTCCTGCTGCGGAGGGTTAAAGAACCCCTATCTACAGCAGGCCTACCGTGCAGAACCACCCGTACCACCCTCGTGCATAGTCCGCTACCGTGTAGACCCGGACCGTAGGGGACACCCGGTGGTGTCCCTCCCCTCTCCTCTCTGCGGGTGAGAGGTTTCCCAGGTGGTTACAAGGAACCCTCCCTAGACATCTGGAGGTCATGCAATTACCGTGGGGTAGTCATCCCCCATATTCACCTTCGACCCTATTCCACCAGCAGTGGGCATATTAATAGGGTTGATGATGGTGATCTCATTGTTATTTCACCACTAAACTATTATAACAGATATTAAAATATATTCCACAAAAATAAGATCCATTCAGTGCCTATCTAATTTAATTAAGCGTAATCAGTTTCCTTTGTCTCATCCCTTGATACATTTTCTAACTCAAATAAATTACCTGTAACCGACTCTTACATAATTTAGTGATATATTTACCCCTGTTACAAAGACAAATGTGGCTGATAAAGTTCGTTTTACAAATTGCCTTCGCGTCCTGGAGTAGCAAGCTTTGCTGGCGATTTTTCATGTCAGCTTTCCAACCTGTACAAAGTGGTGATCAATTTGGACGATGTCTTGATATTAATGAAAAATAAGGCAGCCGGGAACGAGAACTAAAAAAAACATAGAATTGCAATAAGTGTGAAATGGTCTGGCCTTTTTAATAAAAACTCCAAAAGTATGGCTAAAATATATTTGAAATTATGATAATATAATTCCTTTAGTTTTCTATGAAACACAATACAACTACTAAAATTTTATTTTTGTAAATTTGATATTTTTGTTATGTATAATAAGCTTTGTTACCTATATTGTCCTAAAAGAGTTTGTTATGTTTTTAATTTATATATTTTTATATTATACGGTGCATGTCAGTCTTCGGGTTACCGACTTATATGTATACGGAAATGGCCGAGCCATATATTTAGAATAAGGTGTAGAATTTTTAAAGAAAGGGCGTGTAGAGTTCGAATTTTTGGCCCAACGAGATCTGTTTTTTTTGAAAGTGCGAGTTATATGGTCTCGTCTTAGTAACACTTTACATGAAAATGATTTTTGGGAGATATTCTTTAGCATAACCGTTTTAGCATAATAGTTTTTGCATAATAATATTTAACATTAATTTATTTGCATAATGTCATAACTTCTTGACATGAAGTTATGTTAGCGTATTTATATTTTAGGCAATTCTTTCCCTATAATTTTCTTAGACATAAAAGAACCGGTTAATGGGTTAGGTTAGAGTTATAACTAAAACAAAAAGCAAGCGCGTCGCGGCAGCATTCCGGCAATATGCTCAGTGAAATTATGCTTGTAAAAAGTATACGTAAGCCATGTTATATTATGTCTTGAGATTTCATGAAAGTGGTCAGGGTTATACAGTCAATGCTGTAGTTTCTGAGAAAGTTAACGGTCAACTAACGGGCGGACAGACAGATAACCGAGTCCTCCTGAAATAGTTTAGTTTTTTTTTTCATTTCAGATGCGGAGCCCTAAATAGTAATTATTTATCTAACGTTGCTTTCCTCTTTGTTCCAGATGAGCCAGAAATAAATGTACACAGAGAAAAGAGATAAAACTTATTTTTCAACTGACACAGTGACAATAATACAAAAGCCAAAACGATTAGTGTTTACAAGTAAATAGAATCAAATTATATATATTATTATTATAACAAATTATTTAATTTTCTAATAAATTTATTTATTGTTACATACATAAAAATATATCTCTAACTTAGTAACAAATAAAACATAGACTTTGTTAGATAAGCGTAAATAAAATTCTACAATATTAAATTTAAAAATTGTGCTAAAAAGTAACACATTATATTAAAGGGAAAAATAGATATTTCTTTATATTAAAAAATGAGTTTCGATTCAAATACGTCATCTAAAAAGCTTAACTTCGAGAGGGCTACTAACTTCATGAGACAATTCCGAGATCCCGACTCTAGGGAACTGAAGAAACTGTCAGCTAATCAATTTATGGAGATCTGGAGCCATTATGACAGAGATGGTAAGTGTTTTAAAAAAAATATTTTATTTATGAACTTACTAGCTTCCGCCAGCGGCTTCGCCCGCGTGTACCCTAGGAAAATATTTAGTGGGATAAAAAGTATCCTATTATCTAAGTCAGCTAATACCCTATCTGTATACCAAATATCATCAAAATCCGTCAATCACGCCGAAATTACCGTTCAGTAGTTTCGGCGTGATTTACGGACAAACATCCAAATATCTAAACATCCAAACAAAGAAACTTTCACATTTATAATATTAATAGGATTTATTAGAGAGTAGCGATACTGTTAATATTCCAAATAGGTTTTCTATCGATAAATTGTCAATAGAAATATCAAAGTAAAACCGATAACATACAGAATAAATAATTTAATAACACCTCCCTATTATACTTATAAGAAAGAAGTTCAAATATATCCCAAATACATAAGAACACTCTCGACATAAATTATTCTGAGCAATTCGTACGTAATAACTTAGGCTCCACATCTTTATGAAAATACAAAGTGATGGGGGATACCGTACCGAGAATTTCAAATTACGTTCGTAGTAAATTTTCATCTATACATGGCCTTTCAAAAACCAAACTTCTGCGTAAGTACAGTAAATATACAAGGTTTCACGTCAGATAACCACAGTATGTACCTGCGCGGAAAGTTAAATTTTCAAGCGTCAGCTAACCAAAGTGACTCAACTATCATGCTACCTGGAAATCTACCAATATCCACGCACCTGATTCCCGTTGAGAGTGAGTGAGATTAGGAGCACATCTGACGAACTTTACGTGTTATACAGCCAAATGCACAAACGTCCATTAAAATTTTCATTAGTTTAAAGCGACATTACCCATACTAATTTGACATTCATTAGAGCATAAAATCGTCATTAAACCTTAATTGATGTTTGTGTAACTGACCGATAGTTATATAAACAAGAGTAACTATAAAATTTAATCGTACATTTGGTCATTATCAGAATTGGTAAGTCTGCTCTGCGTAAACGAAGATTTACCGTACGCCATATTAGTTGGTATTTAGGGAGTGCAATCTCGGTATTCCGAAACACCGAGATCTTGCACTCCGAACCGTGCGTGATCTCGCGCGATTTTATTTTTGTAATAGACAATTGTCAAAATTGAAAAAGCATGTACTAGATATTTGACTACAATGAGTTTATTAAAATGTAATCTAATATTGTTTTATAACGTATGCTTGTTTTTAATATTCAAAAAGACTTGCTAAAGAATGCTTACAGTGTTTTGTATTTTTCACTCAAAATTAGTTTACATGAATAGTTTTTTTTTAAATCGGTTTTCCCACTACTGTTACAACAGGCTATAACCGGCTCATCGACGGTTACGTTACAGGCTTATTATTTGTAAGGCTAAAATAACAGGGATATTCTTTATCTCGTCTTTTGTAATAAAATAGGGAGAAAAAAAGCCCTTGAAGAGCTTCTTGCCGGTTCTTCTCGGTACAAGGTCTCCCGCCGTAGATTTACGAACCGATGGCGTAGCTCTCGACTTTCACAAGTCCTTGTAACAGCCAATACTGAATAAATAATTTTGGCTTGATATCTTTTTACGGCAGAGTTACAGATTCTGTAATATACTTATATATATAAAAATTGTAACATAGTGACACTCGATGTCTTCTTTCGTGTTTTACTAAATATATAGCAAAACACGAAAAAGACATTTTCATTATGTCATTACAATATTGTAATGACTATTTGTTTTAATCTATTATATATGTGTGTGTATCACACAGATATAATAGATTAAAAAAGGCTTGCAGGATTGTATAGCAACACATAGGGGAACCTGTTGTACTTAGGTCAGTTTTTTGAATTTTGATTTTTAATAAAATAATGGTGCTAGTTAAAATTGTCAACTGTGCATGTATGTAAAGATAATTTAACTAACTACAAAATTCATTCATAAAATTTCGTTTCTTTTTAAAAATTTGAGACTACTGGCTGCTAGAAAAAAAAATGGAAAACTGTCCTAAGTACAACAAAGCAGATGTACCTTGGACCGTGCACGTTGTACTTTGGACAGAGCAGGTTCAAATTGAGATTAATACTTTTATTAATTATAATTTGTTTAATTTCTGTTGAATAATTATTTGAAATAATTGGATAATCATTTGAAACTAACAATTCTTTCAATTATTAGCAACAATATTAAGTAAAAGTATTGTTTTTTAAAAAATTTCACCAATCTTTTTTGTACTCAGTATTGGTTACAATATTTTGGCATCGGATCACAAAATTTTATTGACAGGACTCGTCCTTTCACACTATTCGTTTTCTTCTTCTCCTTCTTTGTGACTTTATCTTTGAGAGTAACTTTTTTTTCATTTTTTAAAGCCTTTATTGCATTTTTCTCTGGTGTGTCTGTTAGTATTTTAGATTTGCCTTTTGGCCCTTTTGTGTTCCTTTTCGTGGCGTGGCTTTTGGATGTGAACGAATCACTTCAGGGGTAATGAGGTTTGAGGAACTTGGCCCACCTTTTCAAGAGTTTTAGAAACGTTTAATGGATGCATTTCAGTTTGATCAGACGACTCTTGAGACCATTTTTTATTCTGCTGATTATCAGTCTGTAAACAAGGTTCTTGGGACAAAAGGGGATCTTATTGGATAGGAGGTTCTAGGAGCACAAGAGGGCTATCTTGAACTGCGGGTTCTTGAAGCAATGAGATGTCAGCATTTCCAGATTCTGAAGATAAAAAACGATCAAATTGTGTAGAAGTTTCTTGGAATAATGGACGATCTGAAATTTTGCTGCCAAAAAGTCAGCATCTGAGAAAATATGCTTATTTAGTAGGTGGAAGTGGGTCCAGTAGCCTTGAAGCTATTGCCAATGTTCGTTGGTGTGAATGCACATGGAAATGCTGTTCCGCCCAAATCTGCAATATCATAAATTGACAAAGGTTTTCCTATATATATGTCCGGGAGTCATAATTTTTTAATTAGCTGCCTGATTAAAATATGTTTTAAATGGTCCAAATACTGATTTGTCCAACGGTTGCATTTTATTCCTTGTGTGTGGGTGTAGTGTAACAAGAACTAGACCATTTTCTTTTGCGAGATGAATTGATAAAATAGAAATGTGACTTTCGTTATTGTCCATGAGAACAATGGCAGGTCGCTCCTTAGAAGGTCTTGCAAATTTTATGAAATAGTTCATAAACATCACAAAAGTGGCTTCATTAGACCATCCTGACGGATTAGCAGCACCTAAAGTGCGCTCTGGTGCTCCATGGATCATGAAATCTTTAAAATTAACCCTAAGAAATATAAGCATTGGTGGAATAAATCTTCCACCAGCATTACAAGCAGCTATCATCGTAACAGTGTTTCCTCTTTTAGCGCTTGTCACTGATTCTACTTGCTTAACTCCAGTTGGTGTCAGAATTTTTGCTAAGCTAAGCTTTACGAAGGGAAAGCTCTTTATAACGTTTCCTAAATAAATGCAGCCAGTACTCTCCCGCCATTTTTTCAGAGTCCCATGTAGAAGGGAACTGGTATGCTAATACTTTTACTTCTTTTAAAATCAATCCGAATTGAAGGTTTGCTGCATCCTTCATATAGTCCACTAGCATTTTATCTTGCTCTTCATTAAAAACTTGTTTACTGTCAGATTTTCGCGTAAATCATGCAATAAGGTGCCTTCTTTCATCATGTGTTGGTAGTGCCGTCTCAAAGTAGTACGAAGAATGTGGAAATGTTCAGAAGCACCATGAAGCGATAATTTATTAGCCTTTACGAGATTAACAGCGTTTTCAATTATTTTTGTATCGATTATAAGTTTTTTATTTTTTTCCTTGCTTCGCGGCATTTAACCTATAACAATATAGCCAATTTGCTTTTTTTAAATTAAAATACCATTATCATAAAAACGTATGTAAATTATTGTTGGCTGTATTAATGACCAAAACGATGTACCTTGGCCAGTGACCGAGGTACATCGTGAGTTGGGTGGCTAAGGTACAACAACGCAACAACTTCACTTAATAAGCTTTAAAAACCGACTACCGATTGAGATTAGGATCTAATACTTATACCGTCTTGTAGCTAGATATACTAAGATTATATTCTAAATAAAGCAGTTTCGACAAATATGCAACACTTTTAATAAATTGACATGAAGTGGACCTCCAAAAACTTACTTTTGCCAAGTAAAATTAAAAAAATATGTTTTTTAACTGTGCTCGCACGGCGCCGGCTTATCGTATCTAACTTCACGTTAATATTGACAAATGGAATATCTAATACAATAAACAAATGATTTTAAAAGCACAAGATTTAAAAATAAAACATGATTGTTTTAGGTACAACTCTGTCCAAGGTACAACAGGTTCCCCTACTATAATTATTTTTCAATTATTTCCGTGAGAGTAGCGTATTTATTTGCAAAGATATTCTGATTGTTTTCAATGTTGTTCAATGTTCAAATGATAAAAAGGGCTGTTTCTTATTGGTTATTGATTTTAGATAAAGTGTATTATGTCCACAATTCATAAGGAGTTGGATAGGTCGCTGGAAGTATGGAAGTGAGGCATAATATGGATTGTCTGTTCAATGCAAATTATGTTAATTTGATCGGAAAACATCGGCTCTATAAACACAAAATCGACACACAAAAAAATACATAATACAAAATT